TATGTGCGCATAGCACAGAAGGGTTATATGTGTAATTCTAAGTAAATTTTCGGAAGAAATCATGGGTCTAAAATCCATTTGGAGTTTGCCAAATTGCGAAATAGGTGTCTTAGTATTTTGCTGCAGTGTCGTTAAGTGCTTAAATTTTACTTAAAGGGGATTTTTGGAATGAGAAATCTATAACTGCATTTACCTTTTTCTTAATTTTTCTACCATAGAACAGTGAAAATATTTACATTTTCGCAATTTGGCAAACTCCAAATTGATTTTAGATCCATGTTTTCTTCGGCAAATTTACTTGGAATCACATGTAGAATCGTCCTATTCTATACGCGCATAGACAAACAAAATTTACCCGCCCTAATGCACATACCAAAAAAAAAATAATAAAAATTGCTAGTATTTGTAATTCTTCTTCCTCGCCCTCGCGCTCGGAGAGGTCTTTCCCAATTCGGACGGAGCTGATGGTATTGCTCAACGTCCATTTTACACAGCCGTATCAGCTTGGCGGAGCTCATGAATTTCTTATCCTAGACAAGGAAAAGGAATAAATATGTCATCCAAAACACCTTCTGCTTAGCTCTGTGGTATATTACAAATTGGGTTTGTTTTTCTTTTAATATATTTTTTTATCGCTCATGCAACACATAAATTTTTAGAAATATTGACTTAACACTTTTTTCACATGTTTTTAATGCAATTCCAACCGCATATTTGACCTGAATAACTGCAAAAAAATCAAGTCACTTCGAATGAAAAAGGTCAAACGCCAGCAGCTCAACGCGCACACAGCACAACAAGTGCAGCACGAATATTGTTGTAATGCCCAAAAATGTACATACAACAAAATGCAACAAAAATTTCAGCAAATAAGACAACCATGACCACCACAAACTTTAACGATGATGCCACAAAATTATCTAAGCTTCATATTAAAGGTGGCTGATCAGCACTGGATCGACGACAACGACTGCAAGCTGTATTGCATACATGCGACGCTCGCTGAACTTGGGCAGCTGAAGTGTGTGGCAATTTTTTTCGAATAAATATTACAACAACAACACTGCCGGCGTTAATAAAAATGAAACAACACTTTTTCGGTCATTAACTTGCCTGCAAAGTGCGCGCCAAGTGGTCGATGCGAAGCGGCTAGCAGGAGGAAAAATGGGTAGCGCAGAAGTATTAGCAACAGCCAAAAACAACAATAGCAACTATGCACACTGGCAGCTTCTCAATGGAGTAGAAGAGGCGATTGAGGTAAAGAAAAAAAAACTTAATAAAAATCATTAGACGTTCAACTGCGGGCGGCGGAGTGGGCATTTGCTAGTAACAAACAAACACAGGTATCTAAGTGCGCCTACATATGTACGTATGGATGTGTATGTACATCTATTCGCCTGGGAGTTCAAAAGTGGAAAATTCAATTTCCCGCCATCAGCAACATCCACTTGCTGCTGGCGTTGCACTGCCATCGCCACCGCCACCGCCACGCCACTTCTGGTGACTTTGACTGCAAAAGTAGCCGCCGCTACGGGTCAGTGAATGCCACAAAGCGGCAACAAAACCGCATAACCGTGAAAAATTCATTCATCGGCAGCATGTGGCAACAAGTGGCTGGCATCTGCTCATTTAATTTCGTTTTGTTTTTTTTTTTTTTGCTTTTTAATTTTACTCGTACCAACCATAGATCTGCGGCAATGGCAACGGCTGAAACATTTAATGTTTGTGTTGACGGTTTCAACAGCTTAGCCATACCCCGCCGCCGCGGCAACAGCCAACTCAACTGGTTTTCTACACCTATTACTTACTGACTTGCCTCGTTTCGTCGCAATTGCTTTGATTGCTAGAGTCTTCTTCGCATTTGTTGTTAATGCTTCGCCTAGTGATATGTTTCTTGTTGTTTTAAACAACATTTTTTCCTTTAATGTTTGGATTAGTTTGTTGTGGCTTGAAATGTTGTTGTTGTAAACTTTGTTGGCACATTAAGTACTCGTATAATTGTGAGCCAGTTTACCAAGTCGGTTGTGCTCGTTTGTTTGCGTTTTATTTTTTTGGCAGACGAGGTTTTTATTTGCTTTTAATATGCGATTTTATGTTTTTGTGCAGCTTCTTTGTAGCACTTTGTAGTCAAATGTTGTCTGTGTATTATTGCTATTGTACTTAGCTGCAGCATGGTAATTCGCCAAGTTGACCTTAGTTAAAATGTCAGACGAAAAATTCCTAACCGACTGGTTGTGCCTAAAAAATTTATTTTTTGTAGGTTTTGCTACAGTGTATCTGCTTGAAGTAATACATTTATACAATTTATACAAGATGAAATTTAAAAAAAACCGAAAACTCATAGACTGTATGGTAATCTGTTGAAAAACGCTTAGTAAAATATAACTTTAATCTCTTAAATACCATACATATGTATATAGTATGTGAGATAGTCTACATTGCTGATTTGCTTAGAAGAGACTTCATACCATGAAAGAATTTGTATGATTTCCGCATATATTTTCAGATCGTGAGATATTTACTTTCACTTCTAAACTTATTACATACTTCATAACAACTTATAACGTACTTAAGCTATAGACAAAGTTTTGATTCGACCTCATTGCTTTGTACACACTGACGACTCTGTGTGATATTTAGCCCCATCACGTGTAAACCAATAATTTTTAGTATCCGCCAATAAACTTACCAAAGGAAAAATACTCCCACTCTCGGTGAGTAGAATTCGTGGGTACCTTTCCAGGCCAACTTCTGCGCAACGCGATTCCCTACAATATCAATATGACCCATTACCCAAATGAGTCAGACCGGGGAAAATTTCCTTGCCAAAGTCGTGCAGTTAACAGACATTCGACTTCTTCCTTAATGCTACCTCTGCTGAATGATGGTGCCCTGCATGAAAGAACTATCCACCGACACTTCCGTCAAGCTTCGACCCATCCATGTAGAAATTTACCGGTATCGTCCTGTAAAACTATTGCTTCCCGTTCGCTCATTCCTAAAGGTGATCTGAGTGTCGAAAGAGCTCAACAACCAATCTACCTACGCAGTGAAATGGGTCGAATGAAATGCAAGCCTTCCGATGGACATGATCTGTTTGCTCCTGTAATAGGAGTATACCTTGTACATCCACCTTGCGGATTTGGGTCTAATGCACCAGTTCCGCTTCATTAGTTTCCGGCAGCTGCCGATAGAGGCTCTGGCCTTCTAAATAGTCTAGGTGCAAATATCAAAAGAGGTTGTCATCAAGGATAACTCCTAGGAATGGTTTAAGTAATTTGTCCTTTTTCCCTTTCCAGGAGCAAATGTCTATGCTAGTCTTCTTGGGGTTCATTATTACTGCACCATTTGGCGAATATGTTTAGAGCACTCTGTAGGAGATTGAAGATAGTATCCCTGTACGTCGGTACCCTTTTTAGTAAGAAGGCCGAATAATTCGTCCACTACGATGCAACACAGCAGAGGAGAGATCTCTCTCTATCTCAATTTTCCTTGTTAGACTCTAAAGAGCATGGATGGTAAATCTTCCTGAAAGACAGACATATTGGTATCAATACAAAGGGTTCCCGTTAAAGAACTATCCCTGATATGTCTGTATTCGATTGTCACCTTGGTTTTTAGTAGAAAGGACGTAGTAGGTATGACTTTGGTGGAACTGCTGGTTCCCGTCACCTTTGGGATGTAGCGGACTGTCACTTCCTGCAATTGTAGTAGAAGGGACCCCACGCAAAACTCTCTGCTCTTCAAAGTGGTATTAGAAAGGGCATTCAGCGGGAAGTCCCTTTTTGAGATGAGCTGGGAAAATGCCATCTGTTTCAGGTGCTGTGAAACCACGCTTCAGGTAAAGGGTCACGCTTCAATAAAAGGACGAGTTGTTAAAATAACAGGAGCGCCTAGAAGTTTAGTCCGAAGCTTTAAACATCTAGCCTTGGTTGATAAGCGCACCCTCAAATTGGAAAAGTGGCTCGGTTCAAGGGAGTAGCTGACATCTGTTCATACTCTTTGTAGTCATATCGATTTTTTTTTTGTTATACATGGCCTTATAACAATTATATTCAACAATTTTATTGAGGTTGAGGCCGTTTTTAATAAAAAAAAAAAATTTGTGAAAAAAGCAAAAATCGAAAATATATCGACTTTATCGCACTCTTTTCTGAGCTTATGTCCAACAAATTTTGGTGTGAATATGACTCTCGAATATTAAGGGCTCGACAAAATGCTATGATGAAAAGCCTGGTGTATATGAATTTTGGTTTGGAGGGTGCCCCCGAAATGATTTCTTTTGTTCGAAAAAGTGTGAAGATACTAGTAATAAAAATTGTTTTCCAGAATTCGATGCTTTTTATGCTTAAGGTAGCATCACATGCTCAGTTGCCTTGCTTGTCAACAACAGCTTTGTGGGAAACTTAAAAAAAACTAAACTACAACACCACTGACTAAACGATTAGCTAGTCGATAAGATTGACCTTTTCAACAACTCGAGTGCAATTATTAAACAGACAATGACATGTAAACAGCCAATGACAGTATACCAGTATGTATTCAAACACACACACACACATGGAATTTTTTATTGAAATAACTTAGCTCAACTTGACTAAAATGGAGCGCTCATCTTTCAAGAAGATGCAAAACAAATAAAAGTTCAAAGCGAAAAAATAATAAAATCAAGCAGATTGTAGCTTTAACCATAAATGGATTGCCGTTCACGCTGCATTTTGTTTGAAGGTCAAATTGCATATTAACCGCGTGGTGGCGACAAACTCTAAAGCACCATCGCCAAGCTCAATTACTTAAAGCATCTCTGAAACGAAGCTGTGTATACAAATTCAATTACGATGATCGTTTCACAAATTAAAATCGATCTACAGCCATAAACTTTAATTTTATTCTAACTAATTACCACTACAGTATGTACATATGTATAAATCTTTAACCTTTTCAATCATTTAAACTTTTTTTCTTTCATAAATTCGCAATATTAGTAACGTCTTTTCCATCTTCTTCTTCTCATTCCAGCTATCACCGTTCAAGCGCAAACACAACAAAAACGTTCATCGCGCATCACCAGCTCTCGCAGTTTCGGTACAAATGTCAAAGCGTCCGCCTCGAATGGTATTAATTTCGATTGCCCCGAAGAGTTTGGCTACTATCCGCATCCGTCCGATTGTACACAGTATTATGTGTGTGTATTCGGTGGCGCATTGCTCGAAAGTTGCACCGGCGGATTGATGTATTCGCATGAGCTACAAACCTGTGATTGGCCACGCAATGTGGGTTGTGAAGTTGTCGATAATAGCGCCGCGTCCCTAGGCAGCACTGGTAGCGCTGGTGGCACACGTTCGGGCAAGCAACAACAACAACAACAACAACAATCAATTAACAGTCAACATGTGCCAAGTCGTATACGTTTCGGTTCGGCATTTAGCAGTCCGGCAGGCACAACACAGTCACCGAAGGCAACAGTGCCACCGCAATATCATCGCCAGCCACCGCAGGTCATACAGGCGCAGGTGCAGTCATTGCCACAGCATGCGGGCACAGTGATTGGTACGCGTGGACAGCCGAAACCATTCGATACACAAGAGGATATAGCGAAGGTGAGTGGGTGGGCGGATAAAAAGGGTTGAGGGGGGAAACGGTGAGATTTGAAACTAATAGAGGTCAGAATTTGTAGAGGATGAAATATTTAGTAAAACATTTAAATTAAATATTTGATTAAAGTCAAGACTATAAGGAGAGTTCTTAGCAAAAGACACCTCACCCTACCTTAATATTCAGATTCGATCCGTCCGTAAATATGTTTACAGGACCCCGATTCCAGATGCTGCACACCTACCAGTTCGCCCTCGCTTAAATGTTAGGGAAGCCTTCGGACCACAAGCGGCATGCAGTGGTCTGTTGGAGTCGGTAGCCTTTTAGAATACTGGCGTGGCCATAACTCGAGGCGAACTTAAATCCCACCTCACTTAGCCTTACACAGCTTTTCCTGCTAAATCTATGGGCACAACATTAAACATATCATTAAGCGCCAGAGTAGGAGTGGTTCGAAGTGCCCCACTGATCCCGATTAAGGCCGCTCGTTGCACTCCTTCAAGCTGCNAGCCTTACACAGCTTTTCCTGCTAAATCTATGGGCACAACATTAAACATAGCATTAAGCGTCAGAGTAGGAGTGGTTCGAAGTGCCCCACTGATCCCGATTAAGGCCGCTCGTTGCACTCCTTCAAGCTGTTTGACGATGAAGACCTTTTCTAGTGTATTCCACCGGTCCCCATATGTGTTATAAAACTGGCTTAATTAATTTCATAAAGCCAATGAACTACCATCGGCGAGAGACCCCAGCACTTGGCAATGGCCCCTCTACAACAACAGTCTTTTTGATTCTTTCCTCTAAGTTGAGCTTCCATGAAAGCCTGCTGTCTAAGATTAATCCCAGATCCTTCTCGCTGTCACCTATTGGCAGACCGCCTATTAAGAAAAGACAGCAATGCGGTAACTTATACCTCCTAGTAAAAATTAAAAAGCTCCGTTTTTCTAGGGTTCACACCCAGCTTGCAGCTACAAGTCCAGTTTTCAACTAAGTTCAGGTAGTGTTTCCAGAGACCTTCCCTTTGTTATCAGTGCTATTTCGTCAGCATAGGCAACCAACAGGCAGTCGCTTCTCTCCAGAGCCACTAACAGTTCGTTAACGACAACAACCCATAGCAACAGCGAAAGAACTCTTATCTTATTTAGTGATTTTAAAATAGCTTCATTCAAGACGTTATTTAAAGTCCCCTCTAAATGAAGAAAGTCACCATCCACGGGTCAATACTGTCGACGACCGTTTCAACGTACCATCCCTTGCAGTAATCATGCTGATTTAATAATAGTCCCTCCCAAAGAATAATGTTTTTTAAGTGCAGATCAATCAGTCTCTCTAGCATCCAACGAGGAAAGACTGATCGGCCTGAAGTCCCTTGGTTATACATGCGACCTTACCCACCTAAGGAATAAAAGTGACCCGACCACCCTCCGGGACATGACTTCTAGCTAGGCTGCTCGAGGAGATAGGCATCAAGTAGCGGCCCGAAAGCTGCGCAGATTTGAAGAGGGTTTAAAACAGAAAAAAATTACTGCTTATACTTGTGCCCTCAAGCCGCCTTTATATCTTATGCAAATCAAGGCAACCCCACAATTGCGACAGTTTTAAGCTGTACTGGTCAGCAACAGGCAATCGATCGAGTCAAGAATTAGAAGGCCCGTCCAAATAATAAATTCTTTCATGAACACCAAGAGGTGAACCGAAGTCGGTCTTTATGAAACCCGGAATATTCTTTTTTTGTCTTGGTTATTGATTTTGAGGTTTTTTATTAACTCTTGTAAGCTTATTCTGCTTAGCTAGTCGCTCAGCACATGCGTGCTCTAGGAAGCAGTGACAACGTCATTGTACCGAGACAAAATCTCGGCGTAACGGATTACACCATATCGGCGGCCGAGTGAAAGATCGGCCTACCTCAGCATTTGATTGAAAAACGCCATAACTCAGCAAATGATTCAAAACCGCCCTATCTTAGATGCTGTTGTGTTGTTGAATTTATAGTGGGGTAGGGCGTTTTTGAAGCGGTAGCTGAGATGAAGCATTTTAAACCAAATTCTCTGATAGGGATTTCTTCAACCAAATTCTGGAATAAATTGAATAAATTTTTATAAGCTTGCTGAGATAGGGCGTTTCGGACCGGCAGCAGAGATAGGGCGATCTTCCACTCAGCAGTCGATATGGAGTCGTCTATGTACTTTACACCCCAACGCAATAAGGATTAGAGACTAATTTCCGAATATGAAAGCTCATTTAAAGGTCGCTGTGTGAATTTTTCCGCTACACCTTCAAATTTATCTACACATGTATCTAACTTATTAACTCGAAGATTAAAATAGTCTTGCATTAATACATATTGCTACATATATATTTTCCTTACTCCCCATTTAGCTTTATGCTGACGCACATGAGACGCTGCCCCCAGTCGAAGAGGAGGAAAGCGATCGTCAGCAGCGCGTCTATCGCGGCCAACCAAGTACAGTCAGTCAGGTGCAACGCGATCGTGATGGCATCTTACACCAAGCGAGCATCAATGCCATACCAAATCATGGCAAAATCGGTTCCTACGCCTTCGGCTCTCAATTTAGGTAAGTAACCGTTTGCAACTTCATCCGAATAGCCGCTTTTGCTTCTTAGCTGAACTAAACTGTACCGCAACTGTACTGTACAGTATTCATCTATCATTCAATTTAAAGCGCTTTTTATATGAATTTAATGCTTATTCTTCTTTTAATTGCTATTTTCAAATTAATCGAAAACTACTCAAAAAAAAAATANAACTTCATCCGAATAGCCGCTTTTGCTTCTTAGCTGAACTAAACTGTACCACAACTGTACTGTACAGTATTCATCTATCATTCAATTTAAAGCGCTTTTTATATGAATTTAATGCTTATTCTTCTTTTAAATGCTATTTTAAAATTAATCGAAAACTACTCAAAAAAAAATATCAAAAACAAAATTTACATAATCGCAAATGAAATTCTCTCAACTCATTACTGCATTCACTATTGCACTACGAACTCTCAACTCTCAAATCTGAACTCTGAACTCGACGAAATAAAATACGTTTACTGCTAATAAACGAATGACTTAAAAAAAAAATATAATTGGATTACGACTACAAATCGATACCGCTAACTTGTTACAAACATAGCCGGAACCACCACATTGACCTCAACTTAAACAACAATGATCTTTGTATCGAAACCCTACTTGAAGAAAACGACTTGGCTGACGTTGAACTGGGCAGCGATGAAACTACTACGCACAAACGCGTGAAACGGGACTTAAATGTCCCCAATAATGAAGACACCAAAATCGTTTACAACATCGGTGAAATTTTAAAGACTGATAAGAATCCAAAGACTTTAGGCGAAACGCGGGCGCTGCAGTACAATACTGGTGAGATTTTGAAGACTGAAGAACACCAAAGGACGTTAGACAAACCAAAGATCGCGACATATTTAAACACTGACGAAATACAAACTGCAACGACGGGCGACGTGAGACCATTTCCGAGCACTAAAGAACTTGGTTATGCGATGGCCAAAGAGAGCAGCGAACAAAAGGGCCTACCTTTGTACAATGAAAACACGACAGTGCAAAACACACAAGTGCAGCCGGCGCAGAAATTCGTGGAAACTGAGGAAAATATGCAAGAATCGATAATGGAAATTGTAGAGCAAATATTGGAAGAACTAAAGGGAGCCGGTGATCAGCCAGAGAAGTCAACAGATGGCGCGCAAGAGCACTTGGAGCAAGCAGATAGCGCGACCTCATCCGAGACTNAGCAGCGAACAAAAGGGCCTACCTTTGTACAATGAAAACACGACAGTGCAGAACACACAAGTGCAGCCGGCGCAGACATTCGTGGAAGCTGAGGAAAATATGCAAGAATCGATAATGGAAATTGTAGAGCAAATTCTGGAAGAACTAAAGGGAGCCGGTGGTCAGCCAGAGAAGTCAACAGATGGCGCGCAAGAGCACTTGGAGCAAGCAGATAGCGCGACCTCATCCGAGACCACCGCAAGTAGCAAGCGCATTGATGAACTCAACACAGAAACCGGCCGTGAAATGCCCAACTCAGCCGGGGATCCCATTATGGAGACGCTTAACAATATTGCCGCACTCCTCGACATGGACTACGACACCGATGCTGCAAATGATAGCACAGCTGTCGAAGCGCGTATGCGTGGCACACGTCAGCTGCGGCAATACTTCAGTGGAGGCGCACGCTATCAGATACAAAATGTGCCCGGCACACATTATCGTTCCATTGATGCTGGTGGTGGCCCATATCAACAACAGCAATCGAGCATCAGCTTTGGTGCGTACAACCCCTATTTGTCGCCGCCCTCCACCTCAGCTAACTACAATCAATTGAGTCCTGGATATCAGGTATATCCACAGCAGCAGCAACTGCAGCGGCCACAAACCTTTGGCGGTGGTGGCGTTCCAAAGCATAAATTCACCTACACCGCGGCATTGAATCCACCACCGCCACCGGCAACAGCGCCGCTAATAGAAGATGACTTTCGACCGATGGCGGCTAATTACTATCGCACGACAACTACACTACGGCCATCGACAACCGCTCGGCGTCCAAATCTCTTCAACAATCCCGAACTGATACCGTACATACTGCAGTCACTGCGCGAGTACCAGGAGCAGCGCAAAAAGATGCAGCAGCAGAATTTTCAATATTTCCATTTAGAGAATGGAGACTCGGACGTCGCCACGCTGCCGCAAATGCCACACTATCAGTCAACAAAAACGCCACTGAAGGTCACCTCCAACACACATTTTGCGCAATTCAGCACTATGGGTGGCTTCTACAATAACCAGCACAGTAGCCAGGAGGAGGTGAGCGGCGATTACAAACCGACTGTGAAGTATCCCTCCAAATTGGTCTCGCAATACAGCATAGTTGACAATTATATACCCACCACAACGGAAAGCAACTACTACAAGTACAATTTGTTGGCCAACCAAAAAATGAAGGGCACGTACCATTCGACGCCGGTGCCCAGGTATACGACTCAAGCGCCACCCACTTCGAATATCAATATAATTTCAGCGCCGAATTTAACGCCATCGCACGTGACCACGACGACTACCAAGTTTCCCAAATACAACAGCTTCGAGAAGTATCCGCAGAGCCTCGCTTTCTCAAACAATTCAGCACAGTTTCCGGAGTCCTATCAGGTCTTCACCAAAGTGCGTACGTCTACAATATCACCGAAATTGAAGATTTCTCATCCCACCAGCTCAACGGTAACCACAACTAATGCGCCTCAGTCCTCCCGCAAGCCGGCTTTGACTCTGCAGTTCAACGTGCCCGAGTTCGTTGCAAGTTTGCAGTCCTCCGACTTGGCCAATATGAATCCGCAAGTGGTCAATATGATCAAATATTTCAAGCAGCTGAATGCACCACAGCCAGGGCGTAAACCAGTCACTACCAGCACCAAAACTAGTCAACCTAATAAGCATGTTGAACAGTACGACGAGCAAATCGAAGCTACAACCGAGCAAAATAGGCAACGGCCAACTGTGACACCCACGAGGCGTCCAGTGAAAGGCTACGAAGATTTCCTGAAGAGCATACCCAATCAGTCACATAAATTCAATGCACATAGCATACACCAAGGCAGACCATTCAGTACGACCACTAGCAGCACGATCGCGCCCGACTACTACGATGAGTACGGCGAAGAAGAAGAAGACGAGTCGCTTGGTACTGACAGCGATGATGACATCATGCCACCCTCGCAAATGCCACCGTACATGCCCATGTCTGAGACAATGGCGCCACCACGTCCACAATTTATGCCGGCTGCGACACCTACGCCTACAACATCGACACCGGCTAGCGCACAGCACGCGAAACCAAACTTTCAGACGGGCTTCTTCGAGGCGACCACGACGCGTGGTCCGTTTGGTGGTGCTGTGCATTTCCACCAATTCTATCAAACAACAGCGAGCACGCAGGGTACTAAGCAGCACAATCAAATACCTTCGTTCATCAACTTTCCCAGCGATATATTTCAAGATATCAAACAACGTCTGCCGCCAAGGCCGCAATTGGGTTCGACTGTACCGACTTTGACTAACAATATTAACAATAATGTACGATTTACGATCACAAGGACGACAACGACACCCGCGCCGCATACCACTACAACAAGGGCACCAAGCACAACAACCACCATGACGACAACGACGACACAACGCACGCGCTACACAGTACGGCCGTCAATTCGTCAACGTGGTCAGAGTAAATGGCAAACCAGCGACAGTAGCAACAAGGAGTTGAACAACGTTCAGCATGGTAGTAATTACAACAGCAACAGCAAAGGCAACAAGACCGATTTTGGCGCGCAAAGTTTTCGTAAGCGGCCCGCAGCCACACCAGCGTCCTCGGCTTTGGGTTCGGTGCAATTGAACGTGAATATGCACTTGGACGACGTGGCGGACAGTGGACAAAGGTAGCTAGCTACATTTATATGTAGCATGTGTAGAACAAAAAGTTTATTACATACTAGATATGAAAATTTTGCTGCGGTTGAGAAGTGTGCGCTTGTTGCGTACGCGAATTTGTTGTTGTGTAATGTGAAGCCACAGCAACGCTAGGTAGGTTGACAAACTAAATCGCTAATGTGACAGTGGTTGCCGTCAATTGGAAAATATTGAGTATGTGAGTCGAGAGCTAAAAAGAGCGCCAGAGTGAGAGAGATACATATAGGGGCCCTACACGGTGCGTTTGACTGATAACTCTGTCTCGTTGTATTAGTCTGAATAGCGAAGTGTGAATTACAGCTTGACTATTTCTGCTTTGATCACGAAAATTAAAAGGCCTTGCTATGACTCACCAATCTGTTCGTCAGTTGATGTGACATCGGATTGCCAACAGATTTTCTATGGCCTATTTTGTCTCCTATCTGCCCTTTTTTATTAAATTTTTCCATTTACACTCCAAGAACTTATTCTACGATTCCTTCCTGCAAAATCTGTTTTAAGGTTAGGTTGGTTTCGGTGGTTGTACCAAATTCGGAACGCGCTTGGTCATTAAAGCCTTTGTGATACCATGAAAACTTTTGGAAGCCTGAACTTTGTATTGATGAAGAGCTCCTGAGAAAAGTCCCCTCTACCAATCCCGCCCTAAAGCTTCGACTAATAGCAAAAAAGTTTACTGATCTGTTTCTTCAGTTCGAAGTCCGGAACAAAGTGTTGGTGGGGAGACTAGGCTGAAGACTCCAAGCTGAAGTTTCAACCCATCCGTAGAGAAGTCAACCCGTCTTACTCAATCATCCATTGAGAAAATGTGGCTAGAGAAAATGCTATTAGAGGTGCAGTAATCCGTGTAATAAGGGATAAAAGCAAAACTTTCCAGAACTCCAAAGCATCTGGGCTTCGATTATGTTAACAAGCAAGGCAGATTTGCCTGCGTAAGGCTCTAGTTTAGCTTAGTTACTTTGAAACATAGTGCTATCTCTTTCCAATAGCCCCCTGCGGCAATATAAGCCAACTGATTCCTTATGCTTTCTTCAATGTTAGACTTTCAAGACAGCTTCTATTTCTAGAACCGGCTTATGTACTTGACGCTCTCAAAAGGATGCCGATGAATACCTTCAATTGATGAAAATTCCCCATCGGTGATTTTATACTTCCTACTGAATAAGACCACCTGACGGTGACGCAGATCAAGCTATAAATGAGCCCTATGAGGGTTGTTCCAACCTACAGATTATGAAGTGATTCAACGTTGTCTTTAGATGAGTGCCGATCACACTTACACAATCACATTTTGAGCATGTGTTGAAAGCATAAAAGCTCATATAGTTCAGAGACTGCTCCAGTAGCGCACAACCTGCTGGCTCAGCAGCTAAACTTTGACTGGCAAGCAAAGCAAATTCATATTTTTTCTTGCTGTGCAAAAAAGCTTTCTACTGCCGGTATGAGGCTGTCAATGAGAAAGCTCGAAAAAGCTTATGCACGCGTGCATAGGCTTTGGTCGCCGCTGCTTTAGATAGATAGGTAGATATTAAAATGAGGTGTGCACTGCGACCTGACGATCTATTGTGCTCTTTTCTCTTCGCGGCACTTGTTCTAAACCCAGATCCCTCAGAAAGTTCAATAGCGCCTTCGGGGGTAGGGAGTGGATATGCTCAAGCTGTGGCCATATCAAGCCTAGACTAGCTTTCAAAAAGCGGTCACGAGGAATCCGGTTTTTTATCTCCCGCATTTTTTAGCAAATACAAAGGCTGAATGATGCTTGAAGTCCTTAAGGGATGCTTTAGGACTTTTACCGGCCTTCGAAATAAATGTCACTCTTACGACCCTCCATGCCCTTGGGATGTATCTACTTCTTAAGCAATTTTGCGTCGAGTCACTAGCTGTGCCGGAGAGCAAAAAAAGTATTTCAATGAGTTTATTGTGCTGGTCGTAACCTTGCCCCGATGATGGCTTCTACTGGGGATAGATTACAAAAAATGGACATCGATAAGCTTTAGCTCATCGTCTCGCCCCTCTGATGTCTTAAGAAAATAAAGATCGCCGCCCACACACTATGTCACTCACTTACTGATAATTTTTTTTCCTTAGAAACCTCAGAAATATTTAGTTGTTTGGTTTTTAAAAGCTATCTCTATATCGACTTAACCCTTTCTACTCATTAAGGGAAGCATCAGAGCATTTACCGGTCTTCAATATAAACGAGAACCTGATGACACGCCAAGCCTTGGATTTGTGTTCAGACTTCACGTCAACTACACGATACGTCCAGCGTGCCGCAAGTATGATGGCATCGGGTACCAGAAACTTGAAGGTTTTGGACGAGTTTATCGCCCAAACCAGGTGAGGATAATCCGGAAGAACAGAGTGTTGGGTGCGCAACTCACGTACATAGACCCAACGTAGACTTCTCCTTTGTAAAGATTACGAGGAAAATGAGCATCAAGCAGAAGCCTTATGGACTCTTCACTGCTCATGCTCCAGTTTTGATACCTCATCTCTCAGGTAGCCCAAGGGTGCAGGACTCCGCGCGGAAATGCTTCTAAATAAAGGTTTTCCATGAGTCTCTGTTCGATCTTCTAATTTCGGGTTTGTAGATCCACAGTCCAACTTTATAGTTTCCAATAAGAAGCCAGTCTTCTTCTATGGCGGCTGCGAAATAGTCACTTACATAATGGACCCTTTAAATTTTAGGGTTGCTCATGTTAAAATTTTCAAGAAATTATTATCGGGGCGAAAAAACTCCATCTCCGAAAAAAGCGATCTAGATGCTATTTTTTTTTTCTTTAATTACAACCAAAAAGTTGTTTAGTCAAAATGGAAGTTTTAACGGTAATTTTCATGGTGGTTTTAACGAACCGCTTTACGCTTAACGCTCCGCGTATGACCCTATGACATCTCACTCTTTCGCTTTGCATGACACTCCGTAAATATTGCTCTCCTCACACTCCATCAGTCTTAGACGACGCTCAAAGCCGACTCAAGCACACCAACAGCCAACAACACTCTACTGAATGTAAATTTGTAAATAACTGTTTATACTTAGTACTTACATATACCTACTTACATACATACATACTTAAGTACTTACGGTGTAACGTACGGTGTCGCTCAACAAAAAACGATTTACCTTACTCCAGGTTACTGTAAAATACTTACTTAAATGTCACTAATACCAATTGTACATACAATTGTGCATATAACCTTACACGGACCAAAATCAAAACAAAAAGGATATCAGGAAGAATTGAAACTTTTCAAGAAATGACTAAGTATGGACCCTGTACGCGAAATTCCGTACCGACTCTTTTTTTCACTTAACTCCTGCCTGCACTCATCCTCTCTTTCTCTTTACTGTAAATCTTACTGCCATCTATATAATTTCTCCACGCATGTTGCTCTTATAAATACGTACGCACCATATTATATATATGTATATATATATATATATATCCATCTCCTTCACACCATTTCACACTTCGATCAACACAATTAACCCTGCTGTGCAGCTCTCCATTTGTTCTAAGTCGTTATTTTAAAGCTAATCCTAAAATAATATATATATATATATTTTTTTCGTTTTCATATTCTCTTTTGTAAATATATACATACATACTCGTATATTTATTCGAAACAAAAACCGAACTTTTGCATCCTCATTTGTTTACTTACACAAAACGAAAAAAAAACAACTCAATTATTACTAAATAATTGTTATGTACTTGTAAATATTTAAAATAATTAACCGCTAATTCATCAATCCACAAAAAAAACAAAAACTTTCACGGTGTACAAACAACAACAAAAAAAAAACTACAAAATACCAAACAAACAATGCATCACACATACATCACAACGCAGACCCGAATCATCCTCGCCATCATCACCACAATCGCAATTGCCGCCCAGTCATTATGCACAGCAACAGCAACAACAACAACAACGTCCACCGACTGGCGTGATTGTGGAGGCGATACCATCAACATCATCCATACAAAATCCCAATCGTAATTACTATAACACAACGGCATTATTAAATCATGCGGGCTATGAGTCACAAGCAAACATACACCTCCAACAACAACAACAACATCATCATCAGTTGCATCAGACTCAGCAACAGGCTGATGAGCAACAACAATTAGTTGGGTTGCATAATCAACATCAGCAACAACAACAGCAGCAACACCAACAACAACATCAGCAGCAACAGCAACAAGCACCGCAACAATCCAACCAGGAGCAAAGCTCCTATGAACAATATTACTCAGTTTATGATGATGATCTTGATTTGTATAGGGATATAGAATATCAGCAGCAGCAGCAACAGCAGCAGCAGCAACAACAGCCACCACCGCAGCAACAATATCAGCCGCCGCCACAACAACAACAACAACACCAACAACAGCCTGTACGTCAACAACCCGTTCAACAATCGACCTATCGTCCGTTGGAAATATTGACAACACCAGCGCCACGAGAGACTTATAAGCCACAAGAGAAGCCTACTTACAACAATAATCAACAATCGTTGATCTATAATACAGACTATGATGAGGATCTGATTGCACAGGTTAGTGAGAGAAATATACTACATACATATATCCACTTTTAAATAAGTTTTTGTGCAAGAAAATATTATCTAGTAAAAGTAAATAAAAGGTACCCGCAGAGGGTCTTTAGGACTGGGCTTAGATGGATTCAGACTAAAGTACGTTTTGTATTTAGAATAAAGTACTGCATACAAGGTCTGACTATAGTTAGCGTAGAAAACTAAAAATAAACAAGAAAAGATCAAGTAGAACTATGAAATGATCAGGAATATTCAGAATTTTAGAGATTTTATAGCTTACTGGAAAGACGATGCACAGTGGAAGAGCTCTATATAAAGTGTAACAAGGAGTGGTAAATGTGCTCCGATTTTGCTGAAAATTATAAGATGGAGTACTTTTGTCCAGGAACGAATAAATATGAAAAATAGTTGAATTCAGCGGACTGCCACGCCCACTATGCTAGGGGCGGATATGGGAAATTTTATCCGATTTCAATGAAATTCGATTTGCAACTTGGTTTAAATAATGCAGGTAGGCATAAATCTGAAAGGTTGGAAAAATCGGTTAACTGCCACGCCCACCAGCCATTCGAATTCTGGATTATAATGGGGCATGGACTGGTAACGAACCTCCAAAATAGCAAAACTTTGGTGCAAATTATATTTTTGCATTAAAACCCCGAGATATATAACAAATTGTGTGGATTGGCACCAGCCACGCCCCTTCCTCCATACAAGTATTTTTTTCTCGGCTTTTATGCAAAAGTAGATCTGGCACCATATATTTGCTATTTTGGACACTCGTTACCAAATAGTCCTTGCCACATTAGAATACAATATTCGAACAGCTGGTGGGCGTGGCAGTTGTCCGATTTTCCCCATATTTCAGATGTATGTATGTCTTCCTAGCTTAATCCAAGTTACAAACCGAATTTCATTGGAATCGGATAACATTTACTATATCCACCCCCCTATTGCAGTGGGCGTGGCAGTTTACAAATTTTTACCAGGTTTCATACCTTTTCTTTCCTTAGTGAAAGTGGTCCAAATAGCAAATTTTAGCAAAGCCGAGATACGTTTACTACCTTTTCCTGCAACTTTTATAGGGATCTGCCGGTATTGAAGCGTTCAGTCTATGGAAGATTGACGACATGGACGCAATCGGACGCAATCGGACGCAGCTGAAATTTGTCTGGCTATTAATTTAAAGTGTGCAAAATATTTTTGTACCAATCATCCACCACCGCACAACGCCCCAAGCTACTTAGAAGCACTAACTCTTTAAGGACTAGGTAAAATTATGAGGACATGTTTTGGAGCCACCCTTGCATACTATTGAAATTGAATTCAAATGAACACAAATCTGGTTTCTATCCTGTGGCCTTTGATAATTGGTACACTAATTTGTCTCTGGAAAAAATCCTTAAAACTTGTAGTAAACATGTTTAGAATCGGATCAACTATCGGGAGGTTAATATGCTTATCATACTGGTGTGTTTCCTTATTGAATTTTTACAATCCTCCCAGTGATTTGGTTCCAGTCGTGTTCTCTAGTGGTTCTCTTTTCTCTCCTAAACTTTTCTCCTATGGTCAGTGATTCTATTGCAAGGAAGGGCTCAGTACCTATTGGCGTTATTGCTGCCGCTTTCTTTCTATAGCTTTGTGGCCCTGAACCCAGAAAAGGAAGACCCTGTTTGTTTGCTGGTAAAGTGCATAGTCTCCCCACGCTCTTGAGAACCAATACAGACATGATTTTATGGGAAAGAAGGACTTTGCACGACTGGTAAATTAGCTAAAGTGTGATTGGGTGAGAAGGAGCTCATCTGTTTTTCAAGTTGTCTCGCACATAAGATCTGATGGAGCAAATATACAAAAGATATCTTACAGCTTCATCCTATTCTAGACTATATAAGCTACTGCCAATAGCAACAATATTACTGAAGTTCGTTCAAATATAGACAGTAGATCTTATAAGAAGCTAATGGACTCACAGGTGTCCGACCATTATCATCCATTACTGGGGACTAATTAGAACGCTCGGTATTGGGATTTCTTGACCTCTCAGTGAAAAGCTAAAAGTTTCAGTGGAATCGGAGATAAGACTTTCCATGTTTGTGTTTGAGTTTCTTCCATTCCAAACCCGTATAGATCATGAAAGTGTGCATCCTTTGGGGGGCTGATATCAAACAGCCCATACTGCCTTTGTGATACTTAAAAAGGTAGGGCATCCGCTTCCATACAACAGAAGAAAGAAGCAAGCATACTACCCATGGACAACGCCTGTTAACTGTTTACTCCGAGTGCTTCGAACTGCGATTAATTAGATGCTGCCATTGTCACGTTCCAGATGAGAAGCTTACAATGTATGGTATGTGAACGACGAGAAAAGGCTTTACTTCTCCATTGCCAACTGATTCTTGGATTGGATTTCAAGGCCCTCCACAGAGAATTCAGTTTAATTTTCCCTACTGATTTCAGTACCATTGAGCAGAGTGGAGAAATGCGCTCTCCACAATCTTAGTATTCTCTGAACATCAGTCTTCTAAACTTCGCCTTTGTTTCTGCAAAAAATTGTCATAGTATTGAAACATTCCGTAAGTCACCTAACTATCTGATAAATTTTCGGAGGTTTTCCAAATCGGGAAGGTTTTTTCAGACCCCTCGCACAATCGAATATCGGCCTATTTCTTTTTATTTCGGAAAATACGTGTCACTTCACTCTCCACTTCCCTATATTGGTCCCCAGATAGCACGTGTTATGCTCGATCACAATGTGGCCCTCCAGATGTCATCCTATTTCACTTGAACGGCGTGGCATTCCATATTGTAGTTGCTCATTCGGGCCCACTAAAATCGAAGTACTTCTTCGGCGACTGTACGCAGTGAGCGCGAAATGTGGTCCCACTACTTACAAATGTATATCGGTTTCTGCTCAAGAGTCGAGTAGCCATGCAGTGGGCTCTCTATCGGGATTGCAGCTTTTCGACGTCGAGCCATCTTTGTGTTGCTAATTGCACACGACGTTTCACAGGTGGCAAAAGTTGAGCTTTTCAAGGACTCATCACTTTCTCTCAACGTCCTCTAAGCAGCTGCGTATATACCCATCGACAGGGACTTGTCAATATATACACCAGAATTGAGAGTTTCGGCTGTGTGAGCTCTAGTAGGTCCATTGAACGCCTCTGGTTCACTTTCGGCACGAAATCCTGTACGGTTGCACTTGTCCTGGTTTTATAGTCCGATTTTGTTCATATTTGGAATGCATATCACCTAGAGGAAAGCGAATAACATCACAAAAAATCTGTAGTGTGATTTAGTTCATATTTATAATATATACTATATTACCTACATCAAAAAGGAATAACTTCACTAATCATTTTTCCGTAAGGTGGCGCAAGGGTCGAGATATTTAGAAACCCCGAAAGCTTGTTTTAAAAATATTTTTTTTTACTACTAATTTATTCCGATCAAAAATAATCGCTATTTTAGATTTTAAAAATTAAATACATTAAGCCCCATTCACATCTAAAAATGGCATCTGAAAATGTTTATGGTATGAGTCATATCGTATGATCGAAACAGTAAAAATCCAAAATTAAAAGTTAAATTTTATCGGAAAAATTGTAGTCCAATTTTGACGGTTTAATTGTGATTTTTATAATAAAAATAATAATCGTTACGGTTCCTGATTTCGATTGCACATTTTTTTATTTCTCTTTTTCTTTGATTTTGGCGTATCTTATAACTACTTCTTCTTCCTCCTACAGATCGAGCAGGATAATGTGTATGATCAGCCGACACGTCCGCCACTGAGGTAAGTACTCCATTGCTTTCCTGCACAAATCATTCACATAAACAAAAAATAAATAACCTTTAAAATGCATTTAAAATATTTTATTTCCATAACCAAATCATTTAACATTTGATTAACCAATTTAACTGACTTACCTAATTGAGAGCTGCCTGTCATATACAGTCATATAAACATAAACATAAGCATAACATAAGTCTTTAACAGCAACAGTATGTATGTATGTGTGCGCGCCAGTAAACATACCCAGAATTATTTAAGGAAATATATAAGATTTTCATAAAACCTACTTTACATCATAAAACAAAAAACATTCAAATTCACAGAACATCCCAAAAATTGCAGCCTGGCCCCCGCAGGTAATGTCCAAAGCAGAGCTAATGCTCGCACTCATACTAAAAGTATACCCCTAGGGTATTTTTTTTTAGAAATGTCACACAATAACATCATCAACAACAACTACATGCAATTGCACACACTCATTCCCACACGCACAATTACACATTTATTTATTTGTGAAGATCAAAATTACCTTTGCGTTTTATTATTTTTACTATTCAAAATTTTTTACTGTACTTCATTACAATACGGTTCCAAATTTTCCACTCTACCCTAATGAATTAAACAACCAATACACATGCACATACCGAAAAAAAATACCAAAACAAAACACTCGAAAACAGTGAGCCTGTTACCATTGAAACACCACCACCGCCACCACCGCGATCGGCACCAACAACGCCACGCCCACACCGTCAACCGATTAGCGATGCGCGTAAAATTTTTATTACCGAACCACCTGCGCTTGATGATGCGCCCATTTACGATACCGCCTACGAGAATAGTGCCGAGTTGTATGACGATCCGCCTACGTACGGTCTAAATACCGATCGTGCGCTCTATGAGCAGCCGTCACGTTACACCACCTATGCACCGAAATTGGTGCCGACACAAGACGTTGACGAATATAGCGTAATCGGTTCAACACCAAACGGGCATGAATTTAACAAAATATACAAGCCGACTGCAACAAATTTTGTTGAACCACCTACAAGTCGGGGTGGTACTACAGCGCCAACCCGAAGTGGTACGATCTCACAACCCCGTGGCAACCACCCCACACAAACAACAGTGAAGACGAGGACGACTACAGCAACGCCAAGGATATCGGCACGTACGACGGCAAGAAGCACCACCCAAATTGTACGCACAACACAGGCGGCACCAACAACAACAACAACAACAACCAAATCGTTAAGGTATAGTCTTTGACACGCTAATCGCGCCCGAATATACTCATAGTACTTACAACTATTCTTCATCATCTATTGCTTCGCGTACTTTCTACTGGAATGCGTTCATTTGAAAATAAAAACAAAAAAAAAGCGTTCACGTCGATTCATTATGTAACTGCGTTTATTGATCATCATTGCGTGATATATATATTTGGCTTTTGTTTTTTAAATAGTTTATTGATTGGATAATTGAATTGTTGACAAAAATCACAATCATCAGCAAATACTCATTAAGCGACCATAAAATACTTACATACTTAGCACTTACACTTCCATGCAAACATACTTACACGCAGTACAAAATGACAAAAAGCTCTACGCCAATTGGCAATTACATATTCATACATTTCGCTCTAGTGCTATCATTTTTAAGTCATCCCGTATACTTAGTTGCTAGGATATAATTCTCAAAAGCATTTTCATACTAGCGATCTTTCTATTTCATGTGGATCCTTAGTTATTCATTCTAAACACGCACAAATACATCATATAGGTACACGCAAATCAAATGCAAAAAAAACATGAACAAGTTGAGAATTTCAGAAACACAAAGCATTGAGAGAGCCACATACATATACTTCAAGCACACGGTACACATACCCGCATATAAATATCGATACGCAATTTTGTAGGTATACGAATTACAGAGAGTCACCTTAATTAAGGTACCGTCACCAACTAAGCGTTAGAGGCCTGAGAGCGTGTAGAGAACTGAGAAAGATTATGTTATTTGTGAGAGTAGTAGAAATCGAGTCTAAAAAGGATTGACAAAAGTATGACGTGATATTTTTACTGTTTTTACTATAAGCGCTTAGAGCACTGTGACCTAAAAATAATTTTGAATTTCGTTAAGGCTGGCTAGCTACGACCAAATTGAATAACTACGTCGGAATTGAAGAGCGTTACACCGTCTTGGCAACGTTAGGTTAGAGTGCCTGATTTCGTTCTAGAGCGCAGAGGCACTTCCGTCCTTCCCCTTAGCAATTCAACCACCAATTGCGCTTTAAACATAGTTACATACATATATGCTACCAGTCAAATACGATTGTCGGACAAACGTGTCTAGCCTAAGCCCGATAGGAGAAAGCAGCCCTATTCTCGCTACGCAGTCCGCAGTAACTTATTTCGGCATTGGCGGTCTTCGACCAAGCTTCAAAGGGTTATCCTCATCAGTCCAACTCTGGCTTATCGTATCGCATGTAGGGCGAACTAGTTTAGCCTAGGTAAAACTAGTAGTCCGAAAGGTCTTGATGAGGATGAAACAGTTCCAGAAATAGCGTTCGATGCCCCCCACTTCTAACGAACTATTGAGGGGGAGAAGTGGTCAAGCCAAGTGAGTGATTTAGATCAATTTTCATCGATTTTTGTCCAGATCTGTCTGGTAGACCGACAGGTGTGTTCCCATACAAAAACCAAGGAGCATTTAGATGCTAGCATGTTGAAAGTCCTTCATTCGATGGTTACTTTGGAGGTTCTTCCGTTGGACTTTAGGGATATTAGTTTGGTTGTCAGAATATTTATGTAGTGAGTGAAATGCCATTTTTACCTCGCTTATGGCGGTTAGTTCGGACTTTCTGTTACTGTAGTCCGATAAGCGAAGACTGAGGTGAGTTAACTGTAGTTAATCTCGCTGCCTACCCTTTCGTTTAGCGATGTTATTTGTATAGGCCGAAGTCGACCCTGAGTTTCGGTCTACGGTACCTTCCCATTTGTTCCTCCTTGTGATTCTTAGGAAATTTATTTTTTTTTGTCCAAACAGCGTAGAAGAGTATTAAAATCTGGTTTTCGCAGGTTTTCAGGCTATTCACCATTCGAACGTTGCTAGATGGTAATGAGTTTCGTACTTTGTTGCTCAGCTGGAGGATACAGCAGGGTCACATACCGTTCAGGGCCCGATCTGAAATAAAACTCGTTCAAAATTTAATTTTCTGTTTATGAAATACTAGCGAATTTTGTGGTAGCCTGTTATAGGACCATATATACAAGGAAAAACTTCTGAAAATGTTACGGAAATCAATCCAGTTTTTTTATTTAAGTCCAAACAACGAAGCCGGCTATTGTTTTGTATAATTGTACATATATAGATGAGAGCTTCTTGGGAATTAAGTAAATTGTACCGTAGCAGAAGAAACTCATTACCATAGTTAAAAGTCTATCAAAACTTAGTTTGGAAAACCATTTTACCGAATGGAAAAGATCTTAAAATATTTTTTTAGAAAAGCCCAGGCACAATAGCGATTTACTCACCTTTCACTTTGTGATCAGATTAGTCCAACATTCAATTAAGTGGTACGATAACTTTTTTTCCTCAGCATAGCGCATTTAAAGTTTTCGCGAATATTTTGCATGTTTTACTTTTGTTTGAATACTTAGTGTGGGCACAACCATTAACTGCATGCAAACAAAGGAGTACCAGAACCAATATAGGCTCTATGGAAATGAAGTGAAAAATATTGCATGAGATGCCTGCTGGTTTTTTTGAAAGCTTATTTGGCAGGACTACTAATATTTATTTTCGAGCAATGCGTTTCCGAATTTAATTTTTATTGTTTTTTATTTTGACTACAAATATATTCGACGAAGTACATACGTAGGTGCCTCTAATCTTCTCAGCATTACCTCATTTTCGAAAAACAAAAATTTTAGGACCACCACTGACTCACGCAAATCATTATGCACTAGGTAAATAATTAATTAATCCATCACCACAATTATGGATTAACTTGATTGGTGATTAAGACTTTAAAGACATTCCCTCCAGCAGTGATCCAAACTACATGCCGTATACATATTAATTATTAAACTGTCTATAAAATTGGTAATAGCAAGCATACAAAGTAACCTAAAGTCGCGCATCTAAAAAGTATATTTTTCTTAAAATCGTTGAATGTCCAACAACAAACTACCACTGACGTATAAACAACCACAACTGCCACCACCACCACCACCACTACTACCACCAGCACCTCTCTCTCTCTCTATCTCTCTCTCTTCCAATTACCATATCTAAAGCAACAACAACAACACTAACATTAACCGAAAATGTGGATTTCTCCTACAGATCTAAAACGCATGCAAATAAATACCAAAAGAACCAACGTACGCAATCCAATCCACCACAACAACCACCTTCCGCAATCAAAACACCACCCCCATCTCCAACTCCACCTACATCTTCCCCAACTCCAACGCAAAGAACAACAAGCATACCAACCGCCATTACAACGACAACATCCACACAAAAACCCCAACCGTTTCCCAGTGCACATTATTCTAACTCGGACGAGACGTTTGTCACGGTAGTCTCCAAGCCGCACAGTCTCGCCGCACAAAACCCAAATATACCAGAACAAAACAGAAATCCCTCTAACACGCCCAATACACCGCAGTCCCAGTCATCCTTGTTAGGTTTTCAAACGGTGGACGACATTGAAACTATCTCCGACGCCAGTCAAAACGTACACGTACAGACAGCTGAACCCTTTAGAAGTGCTGGTCGTCCGTTTGAGTCAAGCACTGCTCTTAACGGTAGGGGAAAATTTTTGGCTGTCATTGACAAAGTGGAGACGTATGCTGACGGTTCGCATGGCAATTCGGTACGCGCAATTAGTGATAAAGTCATTTCACATGAAAAATATGGATCCCACGAGAATGCCTATCGCAGCAGCAAGCAATCGAATGAGCACTATGGTAAAATAAGTGACGTCAAATCACCACAGAAGAGCCGTTTGCAAAGCTATATTGTCTCCGATGTCGCGCCGCAGAGTTTCAAACCCGTGCCAACCGTTAAAGAGGTTGCGTTGCCATCTCCAGAGCCTGAGACTGTTTTAGAGCTTATAAGCGGTGAGAGCTCCGCATCCAGCACTACACTTCGTTACCCCACAAACATAGTCTACGAGCCGAAACCTTTTAAGTATAATCTACACACAGGTGCAAATGGTTTTAGTTTGCGCGCGCAAGGCGCAGAGGAGGCGGGGAAACCCATCTATGAGCGTAGACCAAATGTGACGCCGCAACAGCTTTCGACGACAAATCGTGCGATAGCGACGCCAAGCGCAGCCACTAGCACTACCAGCACAACTACAAACAAGCCAACACAGCGAGCCCTCTTGCCCGAGGCTTCGTACGAGGATGAAATTGTGCCAACCACATACGCACCGCCTTTGCGAAACGGCTGGCGTGTGGGCCGCACTAGCACACGGCCATTGCAGCACATCGTTTTGGAGACGAATATTGAGGATGACCATGTCTCTAGTTCGGGCAGCGAGCAAAGCGTGGTGAGGGCATTGAAGGAAACCAGCACTGTGCGTCCAACCACGAGCAGCAGCACCACAACGTCGACAACTACAACGCCACGTACTACTAGCAGCACTACGACCAGCACCACAACCACAACTACAACTACAACAACAACCACAACGACGACGCCTGCGCCTGCGCCAGCGCCCGCATTTGTATTTCCCACCACAGAACGTGCTGCACAGAGTTACACACCGCGCGCGCTCAGCTTCAAAGATAACCTAATCAAAACCACCGGCATTCCTGCGCAGCGCTTTGTCTCGCCATATAAAAGCCTTGAGACTATACTTCAAGAGAAAGATGATCGCTACACGGGCGCAAACTCACTCCGCAGCACCGTTAAGCCACGTTATATGAACCCAACAACACCCTCAACATTCACACAAAGCACCAGCAAGCCCCTACGCAGCTACTTCCTCATCACAACTCCTCCAAGGAATCTTAGTGACTCGATTTTTGCCACAGCTTCGACAGGCATACGGAATTTCAGCGTGAGCGATACCATACTCAGCACCTTTTCAAATACACCACCCAGATCTGCTGCGCCGCCGCAATCTTTGGCTAGCACCACGTCTACGACAACGACCACCAAAGCGCCCACCACCGAGGCTACAACTGAGAGTACAACACCGACGACGATGTCCACAGTCATTGTTACCGCACCTATACGCATCGCAGTTTCAAGCCAAAACACACTGAGAGCTCAACCCCTGGGAAGTGATTATGGCGGCGGAAAAAGTTCGGAGACACCACGTCCACGCGGACGCTCACGTTACTCTGCGGCGACAGTAAATGCATTCGAAGAACCAACAACCTATGCGCCAAGAGTACGCTACCCAGGTGCCAGCGCAGCCGGTTATGAAGCTGTCACGTCTTCGCCCAACGATAGCTATACAAAAAGGCGAACGCTGCAACGCGCACGCATCGCGGCCATACAGGGTCAACGTAGTGGACTGAGCGCGAATGCACCGCTGAAGTCTCGCGAAAAATATGAAAGCTACAAGGCCGAGCAGCAACAGAAACAGGCTACTATTACGGCGTACGGGCAAACGGCACAGAAGTCGGTGAATCGAAAACCGATTGAGAACGAATCGACTGTGGAGGG